TACGGGGAAGGCTCAGAACACTTCTCAGAAGGCCAGGGGTCTCCCGAGCCTCCTGAGAGGGCCTGCCCCTTCTCACTTCCCCCCGGGGCTCGCCGCCAATCCTGCTGGTTCCTGACCTCCGGATCGTCTGCTTGGTCTTCAGAGGGTCGTTCACGATCAGCTTGGCCCGCGTGGCGTACTTCAAGGACATGAGCGTCTCGTCCAGGTTCGAGCTGGCTGGGGAGCAATTCACGAACATGAGCGTCTTAGAAGTGCCGCCGAGGGCGTCCTGCATGACCTGGGTCAGCTTGTGGTTTTTGTAGGGCACGTGGCTCTGCCCCTGGGTAAGGGACTCGATGACGTTGCCGAGCGCCGTCAAGGATTTGTTAATCTCGATGGCCTCCTTCTGCTGGTCGCCGCTCACCTCGGACTTCTTCAGCCTTTCTGAGCCGGCCAGGTCCACTAGCAGCATCTTGCCGACCGTCTGCTCATGCGTCTCCCTGTTCACAGCGACTACCTTGACGACGAAGAGCAGGTGCGAGCGGGAACTCTCGCTGTTCATCGCAGTAGCCGAAACATGGCGCTTCTTGTTGCCCCGCTCGAGCAGCTTCAACAGAGATTCCGCCGACGTGCATACCTCCTCGGTCAAGTGGTCGACATGCACGGCCCCCTGCTTGTCCACGTGGACGTTGAGCTTCTTCTCCTCGCTGGCCCCGCCCCAGGAAGTCGCCCTGGACATGATGGATGCCTTCCTGGGGCTGCTCTCACCGAGCTGCAACAGGTCGACAAGCCTGTCCCGATACAGCTCCATCATCGAGCCCATGACGGTGTGCTGGTAGCGGTCCCTGTCCCTGTCCAGGAGGCTGTAGAGCTCGGCTATTGTCCTTGGAGTCGTGCCCTCCTGGCCAGGCACCCCGTACATGGTGAAGGTCTTGCCAGCCCCCGTCTGGCCGTAAGCAAAGATGGTGACATTGTAGCCGTCGAGGGCAGACTGGACAAGGTCCCGACAATCGTCAAACACCTCCTCCTGCGTCCCAGGCATGAAGACGGCATCGAAGCTGAACTTTGTGTTCCTGATCGCAGTCGAGATCGTAGACTTCGACCGTTGAAACTGCGGCCTGGTGGGCGGATCGCCCTCGGCGCTGGGCTGTTCGTCCAGCGCCTCCCTCACAGTCAAGGTCAAATCGTCGTCCTGGAAGACGATCTGCTCGTCGTGGTTGGAGCGCTCCTTCTGGCTGAGGGGCCTCACACGGCAGAAGACGCGGATCGAGCCCTTGAGGTCCTCGATCATGTTGTGGAGCTTCCGCCTGTGCCGCTCCACCGGCCTCAGATCCGCCTCCGCCACGCCCACCGCCTTGGCGGCCTGCAGCGCGGCGCTCAGCTGGTCCTTCGCCTCGCGCAGCTCCTCCATGCTCGAGCCCAGCCCCGCGCCCCTGCCAGGAGAGCCCAGAAGCGAATCGATAAATCGGACCGACGATCGAAATCAATCGGGTCGGCAGAAACCGGCAGCCGAGTCGGGATAAATCGAATAGGCGGGAATCGGGAATCGAATAGGCGGGAATCGGCAGGCTAGTAGGCGGGAATCGGCAGGCGAGTAGGCCTGACCCGGGTAAATCCAAACCCTGGTCAGTCAGGCTTCGCAGGATCCTGCAAGATCCTGCGGGAGCCTGCAGCCTTGGCTCTGCAGGATTCTGCAAGATCCGGCGCTCTGACTGACCCGCGCTTGCATTGACCCCCGTCTCTTGAGCCCCGACTCCATTGAGAAATCAAAATCCGCATCGGACTCCCACGTCGAATCGAATTGGAATCGCAATCCACTGGAGTCGCAATCCACGTCGAATCGCAGTGGAATCGAATCGCAATCCACGTCGAATCGAATTGGAATCGCAATCCACTGGAATCGCAATCCACGTCGAATCGCAGTGGAATCGAATCGCAATCCACGTCGAATCGAATCGGAATCGCAATCGGAGGACGAGGACGAGGACGAGGAGGAGGACGAGGAGGAGGAGGACGAGGTGGAGAGGAAGGAGGAAGAGGACGAGGTGGAGAAGAAGGAGGAATCGCAATCGCACTGGAATCGCATCGAAGCGAATCGGAGGAATTCCATGGAGCCCTGCCTGGTACCCTCCAGCGCCTCTCTGGCGTGCTGCAGGGCACGCTGCTGCTCCTCCAACGGGGAGGGAGGAGGAGAAGGAGGAGGAGGGGGAGGAGCAGGAGGAGGAGGAGGAGGAGGAGGAGGAGGAGGAGGAGGAGGAGGAAGAGGAGGAGGAGGAGGAGAGGGAGGAGAAGGGAGGAGAAGAGAGGAGGAGGGAGGAGGGAGGAGGGAGGAGGAGGGAGGGAGGAGGAGGAGGGCACGCTGCTGCTCCTCCAGCTCCGCCGCCCGGTCCTCCGCGGCTGCGTACTCCGCCGGCTCCAGCCCGACCCTCCGCGCCTCCGCCACCGCCGCGCGCAGCTCCTCGAGGTCTCCGGCGTCGTCGGACGCGGCGAGGCCCGAAGGAAGCGACAGCGGCGTGCGCATGCACCTCCCACGCTCCGCACAGATTTCCGCGGCCAGCGCTGCCCAGACCCCCTCGCGCTGCGAACACAAAAAGACGCGACGGGAGGCGCTTCGCTATGCTTTCGGCCTCCGGAGGTCCTCAGCCTGCCTCGGACCGTCAAAAACAGACTCTGGATGAGAGGCCGGTCCCGGGGAAGGGATCGACGTTGCGAAACAAAATGAAAAATCACGACGTCGTGACAAAATCACGACGGGCGCCCTCGTCAGGCCACCCCTGCGCACGCGAAGCGCCCCCTTCGGGGCGTCGTGCGACGCGCGAGCAGCATGCGCGTGCCATCGTGTCAAGTTGCCCTGCCCTCTCGCGTGGGGACCCCCTTTGCTTTAGGTCGGGCGTGTCCTCCTACAGGCAGATGATTTTGAACGAAAAATGCCAAACATCAAGAAACTTGCAAAACTGCTCAAAACTACACAGAAATCGTCCACATACGACTTCACGACGATTTTTGAACATACCTCCTGTAGAGGGACACGCCCGACGTCACCTTTGCCTCGTCGCCCGCGTGCTGGTCCCGGGCCACCACGCGAGATCCGGACGGCGCCCGTCGTCCGACGGTCCCGGACCTCTCTGGGCGTCGACGCTGTGGGAAAAATCGCGGCGTCGGGGGGGTGAGGAGGAGGAGGAGGAGGAGGAGGAGGAGGAGGAGGACGGGTGAGGACGAGGGGGCAGGAGGAGGAGGAGGAGGAGGAGGAGGAGGAGGAGGAGGAAGAGGAGGAGGAGGAGGAGGTGGCCCCCCCCCCCCCCCACGGCCGGCGAGATCGGCGACGGGATCTCTGCCCGGGCGCCCTGGATCCGCGCTTGGAGATCCGCGCGGACTTTTGTTCGGGTCCGCGCGGGGTTTCTCCATGGTTTGCTTGTTCGGGAGAAGAAGACATGGGGAACGCGCGATCACTGAATCACATTGCGGCGTGAATGGCACAGCAGCGCGAAGCAGAAGGCCGCCAGGCAAACTGGGATCGCAACACGAGCCAACCTGCCATAGGCAAGCTATGGCGCGGGGTCTCTCCACGGGGGCGGCGCTGGAGGCGGCGTCAGGGGGACCCCGGCGCCGACGGGAGACTGAGATAGCAAGGAGCATCTGCAGTTTACAATGTGTCGCAGCACGTCTGAGCAGACCTCTCGGTGTCCTGCCGTCTCGTCAGGCTGCCACAATGCGCGCTTGACTGCCCACGCGTCCGTCCGGATACATGCGACCAGGATAATAAGCATGCGCTGCAAGGATGCAATGTCCTTGGAACGCCATGCTGACTTTTCCGTGCGGAGCGCAGCAGAACGCCGAAGGATGCCGAATACCGAAGGGGCAAGGGATGCCAGGGTAGCCTTGGAAAGTTGCCCCGTCCTTTCTGTCATGGTCGACTGTACTTGGCTTCTTGAAGGGGCCCAGGGACACACAAATAAATACACATAAATAACAGGACTCCCCATATTTTCCTATCTTTTCTGGGTTTTGGTCTTCCCCCCCACTTCCCATATTTCCGCGTCTTTTCTGGGAACCGACGATTAATTGTGTCTGTGTTTTTTTCCCCCTCCTGGCTTTTGCTTGCCTGCGCTCGTGGTTGCTTGCCTGCTCCGCGCGGATGTCCTGCATCGGCGCTGCACCCTGCCCCTCCCCCCTGGTGCGCGGCGCGCGCCGGGGGCGGCGCCTCCGGCGCCTCCGGCGTGGCCGCGGGGGGCCCCGGCGCCGATCCGAGAAAGCCGCGAGGAGCCCGGGAAGCTTCTGCTTGCACGCCGGTCCGAAGGAGTAGGTAGAAGCATGAGGTAGGAAGGCGTGGAGCTGGGCCCCCTCGCCGCCCGCGGCGCGTGGGCGGGGCAGCGCGGCGGGTCCGCCCGCGCCGCGCCGCCCGCGCGGGGGGGGGGGGGGGGCATGGGGCCGCCCAAGGCCCGCGGGGGGAGGGCGCAGCGCCCGCTGGCCGACGCGGCGTGTATGCCGCTTTCTCTTCCTCGGGATGCGCTCCAACCGCTCCCGCGCCAGGTACCGCGGCTCCTGGGCAAACCACAAGACACCGACCGCTACTCCCTGCACCTCTCCTGGGTGTGCGTTCTGATCAGAATCTCAAGGCGAGTCCAGCCGTGGCGACGAGGGCTTCCCAAGAGGCCCAACATGGCGACAACGTGGAAGGGGACGGCGGGGTCATGCCTGGCCGACGCGTCGGCGATCCCGCCGCGGGCGTTCAAGGCTGCACGCCAGCGGCCCAGCATCGGCTGGTATGGAAAGATCTGGCGATCGGAAAGCCGCCAATCTTTCAAGATTGAACGACCCACGGTGTCTCAAAAACCAACGGTGGGGAAACCAAAAGGTACCAACCAATACCGCTACTCCCCGGACTTCTCCCGGGGTGCGTTCTCACCAGGATTCCGAAGCGAATCCAGCGGTGGCGACGAGGGCCCCCCAGGAAGCCCCAAAAAGGGGAAAACGAGGGTACAGTGCACCCTGTCCTCCTCTGAGTCTCAGAAATCAATGAGCTCCTCCTCCCGCAGCGTCCGCTCGGCCAGCTCCACGAGCGCGGCGTCCACGGACGCCGTGCGCGCGGGCTGCACTGCGAAGCGCAGCTGCGGCACGCTGCGGGCGTCGACCGCGCGCCGCAGCGTCGCCTCCGCCTCCTGCCGGGACTCGGCGCTGCGGATCATCTCCTATTTGGACGCCCGAAGTGGGTACAGTGGAGGCTAGTCCAGAGGAAACCTTCTACAAGAAACCCAACCCTGAGACCCAAGGACGTCCATGGATGTTTGGTGCGGGAACGTCGCGCTGTCCATAGCAAAACCATCGAAACCCAAACCCTGGATGCAAGTACGGTGTTTCTTGACATGGGTTTCCACTGTATGAAATCGATGGGCACAATGCATGCCCAACAGCAAATTCTGCCCCAAACCAACAGCGGCCGCTGTTGGGCAGCCGGCCTTCTGTCGCAACTGGACACAGGCCGCGGCGGCGCGGACAGCGAGCCCTGCTCGAAAGGAACAAGCACTGATGCTGCACACCGTCCCCATCCTCTCCGCACCCATCTTTCGCTCGTGCCGAGCCTGGTACGGCGCGAGCTCCACCGGCGCCAGGCCGGCCTCCCCCCCCGCCGCCACCGCGGCCCGCAGGCTGTCCACGTCGGCGTGCACGGCCGCGTCCTGCAGCCGCGCCCGCGCGGCCTCCCTCGGCTCCTCGGCCGCCAGGGCCTCGCGGGCCCGGTCCATGTCCGGGCCCCCGACGCCGGCCTGCTCGGCGTGGGCGACGGATCGAGGAACGGACGCCGGCACGAGCAGACGCCTCCGGAGGTCGGCGCTGATGTCTCGGAGCGCGCCAGGGGCGGCGGCGGAGGCGCCGCCGAAAGGGGGGCTCCAGCGCCGACCCGAGGAACATCCGCGCGGACCTACGGGAGGTCGTGCCGATTCGGGTAGGGGATCGACTACAGCACGGACCTACCCCCGGTATTTTCTGTCCCGCCGGATCCACGAGGCATACCTCAAATGACCCGCAGCTCCATGAAGCAATTCTGCGCCATCGTTCGCAGGGCCGACGGAACAGCAGTGTGAGGGCAGGTCGAGGATGCAGCCGATCCCCTGCTCGACTTGTGCCATGCTTCCTCCCTCGAGCTGGCTCCCCGCAGGGCCCACGCACAGCCCGCCTCCGTGGCCGCGAGCACGCGCTCGTGGGCCCTCGCTCTCTCGCGCAGCGCCTCCAGGCGCTGCCGCGCGGCGAGCAGCTCCTCGCCCTCGACACCCGCCTCCTCCGCCTCCTCCACGGCGGCCTCCAGGTCGCGGGGGGCGGAGGCCTCCTCTGGGCTCAGAGGCTCGCTCTGGGGACCTGCCTGGAGCCACTCGCTCCACTCGTGAGGTCGATGTCGATTGTCCGTCGACCTGAGTCGAACTTGAGCCGAACTTGAGTCGAGCTGGAGCCCAACTCGAGTCAAGCTGGAGTTGAAGTCGAGCTCGAGTTGAACTAGAGTCGACCTTGAGTCGAATAGATCCGTCAGGCGGTCCCCAGGAAGGTCCCCCAGACGAGCTCCTCTGCGGCTACACGCAAGAGTGACCCCCGGCAAGAGTGACCTTTGGTGCGCGGACTAAAGGGGGCTGAGGGTGACCAAATCCAAGCGCGCAGGCAGCCACTACCGCATCGCGCTATGCGATCGGAGGGGCCCTGGTGAGCTCGCACCAAAGGTCACTCGGTCACCCCGGCGAAGGATCACTCTTACATGTAGTCGACCTCTGGGTGAATGCTGCCCCCCCTCCCCCGAAGGTCTTGGCTAACAAGAAACTCCGTGCGTCCCCAAGTGCGCCCTCGCCTTCGCCTCCTTCTCCTCCTCCTGCTCCTGCTACTCCTCCCCCTCTCGTATTCCTCCGCGACGGCGGCGACGGCGTCGGCGGCGGAATAACTGTTCCCCGAATATTGATGGATGCCGTAATCCTTCAACTATCCCCTTGGAGGAGTAATTATTTTCCCATTATTAAGATGTGAGTTCTTACTTAACCACCCCCCGCCAACCACCATATCTCCTGAAAGGATTCGGGCTTCGCCACGTCCTCGACGCACGCCGAACCCTACCCCCGCCGCCCATCGAGTTGTCTGAACCGTTGATCGACGAGGGTGGTGCGGTGCGGTGTGGTACGGTGCGATCTGCATGCTAGCTCTGGAAGACGGGGCGGCCTCCTCAGGGGCAGACGAGACCATGTTCCAAAAGGAAAATCATGCGCAGCTAAGTCGGTTGGAACAAGCACATATAGATGCACTGCCTGTTGAGAAGATCACCCCATCTCAATGAAGGCCTGCCTATTGACCTCCTGGCCTCGGTCGTCGATCTAGGGGAACTAAAAATTACATAAACATAACAACTCGGAGGTCCGCGCGGATTTCTCGGATCGGCGCTGGACCCTCTCGAATCCGCGCGGACTATCGAGTTGTTATGTTTGTGTCAGTTTTCGTTCCCCGACGATCGGTGAGGGCGGGGTTCGGATTTCTCGGGGGCGCGCAAACATG